CTTCATGCATGCGCGTGCATTGCAGCTGGGTCTGTTTAAAGTAAAGATGCACAGCACGCGGTCCTGCAGCGGTGAGGCTCATCTGCCTCGGGCTGCTGTGGGTGCTACAGTCACGTCTGGGCTTTACCAGGGCTGCCTCAGAGATGGTCGGAGAGGCCTTTAAAACACCCGAGATACAGCAGAGGCACACTGCTGATGCACCGCTCATGCATTTCACTCGGGATGCATGACACCTGTGTTCATTATGAATCTGAGGCTCCATTTACACCTGTTGTTAACATGCGTCTCAGGCAAGTGCCAACCTCCTGGTCTCTCTCGTGAAGCCAACACGGAAGTGACTAAAACTGGAATTCATCGACTGGCCGCTAGAGGCTGGCTCTAAAAGGGAGTCAGTCCCATAGACCCCCATGTTAAAATGCCCAACTTTACAGCAGAAAAAAATGTTTACAGCCTGGTACAAAAAGTGCTTTTGGTCTATATAGCTAATTTTGCCCTTCATGACAACTGTGAGGGGGGTGAATTTTTTTTATAACTCATCCGTTTAAATTATATTAAGTCTTAAGGTTCTGCATAATTAAGGGCATGGCCACTCGAGTGACAGGTGGATTGCCGCTGCTGTCACCACCATCGAGCTAGGTGGGTGTGGTTTCAGCAACCAGCTCCCGCCTCTTTTCCCATTTACGATTATTGAGTGACGTGCTGCCAAGATGGCATGAATGGTGCCCCATTTGCAGTTATTTTTTCTGGTTTTAAGCATAAACTCACATACATTTCTCAAAAAAAAACAAAAGACTTCTTGTGTAATTTTTAATTTCAAGTAAATGTCTCTTGATTTAAGTATGTTTAGATATTTTTACTTGGAAACAAGACAAAAATACTAAGAAAATCACTGTTTGCAGTGTTGGCTTTGTGTATATATTTATATCCATAGGTCACACATATTTATTGACAATATATTGGCCTCTGGCAGTTGAAAAGTCCATAAAGGTCAACCATTATTACCGACCTTTTATTAAATTTGTGATATTGAAACATTTATTTTGCCGTTCTGTAGAAAAGCATCAGACCGCAGGTGGTCACAACGTTTGAACTTCCTGGATGCCATGACATGTGGACAGTCATTTACTGTGAGGAGAAACCTGAGAAGGTGATTTGTTACGCTCATCTGCCGCTTTTTTCTTTTCTTTTTTAATCCAGATAAACGCAATGATAAATAAGACATGCTGATGTTTTAACTTTGAAACGCCGTGTGTCTGTAGTCTCCACCAGAGGGCGATAGTGAGGGTCCTGAGGAGGAGAAGCAGGAGCAAACAGTGGAGGATGACAAGAACAAACACGGCTTCCTCATCCTCAGCAGAGAGGACTCCACTATGGTAATCAAAGGCTGTATTCTCTATAACACTCATTCTAGGCATGCTGTTCCCATTACTGCTTTCTCATATGAGCTCACTGGCTACTCTTCAACCGATCACAATGATTAGAGTCAATGCCATTTCTGTAGGTCTTATTTGCTCTTCCAGTGATTCATTGCTCTTGTGGCGTGTTTAGATCCTGCAGACAGGTCAGGAGATTATGGAGCTGGACACCAGTGGTTTCGCCACGCAGGGTCCCACTGTGTATGCGGGCAACATCGGAGACAATAAATACATCATCCAGGTGTCTCCTGTGGGCATCAGACTGCTAGAGGGAGGTGAGGGGTCAAACCAGTGTAGATCTAACTGTGACCGTATGATGGGTGGCCTGTGTCTCATCTGGTCTCTTCTCTTCTTGCTCTCAGTGACGCAGCTCCACTTTATCCCTGTGGACCTGGGCTCTCCCATAGTGCACTGCTCTGTGGCCGATCCCTACGTGGTCATCATGACAGCAGAGGGAGTGGTCACCATGTTTGTGCTAAAGAGTGAATCGTACATGGGGAAGAGCCACCGCCTGGCACTGCAGAAACCACAGATCCACACGGTCAGCCCACGCAGACATCAAGCACATTACTGATCAAGCGTTTGCTTTCGTAAGAAGTCTCTGATGCTCACCAAGCCTGCATTTATTTGGTCAAGTTTTTGAAATGCAGAATGGTGTAGGAAGTCTTGCTTTCTGAGAAATGTATCAAAATTAAAGAAGTTTATGCTTAAACAGAAAAAAAAAAAAACGTCAGTGGTGTAAGATTTATTTGACCCCATTTGCAGTTATTTTGTTCTGTTTTTAAGTGTAAACTCGCTAAAAAGACATGTATGATGACTTGCGTCATTTTGCATTTCAAGTAAGTGTCTCTCAATTTAAGCACTTTTAGATATTTTTACTGGAAAACAAGACAAAGAAATCACTCTTTTCTTACTCAGTCTCTTATGTTCACCAAGGCTGCATTTGTTTTATTACGGTTTATAAAAACAGTAATATTGTATAATATTATTACAATTTAAAATAACTGTTTTCTATTTTGAATATATTGTAAAGTGTAATTTATTTCTGTGATCAAAGCTGAATTTTCAGCATCATCACTCCAGTCTTCAGTGTCACATGATCTTTCAGAAATCAGTCTAATATGCAGATTTGCTGCTCAAGAAATATTTATTATTATTATCAATGTTGAAAACTGTTGTGATGCTCCGTATTTTTGTGGAAACTGTGATGCATTTTTTAAGATACTTTGATAAATACAAAGTTCAAACACAGCATTTATTAGAAATAGAAATCTTATGTAACATTATAAATGTCTTAACTGTTATTTTTGATCAATTTAATGCATCCCTGCTGAATAAAAATATACGTTTTTTTTTTAATCTCGTGAAAAACATTTAGGTTGTGTTTTACCACAAAATTGAAAGCCAATATAGAAACTGAATCCTATTTTTAGCACAGAAGATTTTATATTGTGGCATTATTTTCATGACAATTAAACACATTTTCACCCAAATTCTTATTGCCCTAGTGGATATGAGCTTTCTGTAAATCCCATTTCTCTCTCCGGTGATTCTCATTACTGAAATACAGTCATTTGTCAGTGTTGAATGCCTCTTAAAGTGCTCTCAGTGTGACCAGATCTCAAAATTTTGTTTCGCAGCAATCCCGTGTGATTACGTTATGTGCGTACCGTGACGTCAGTGGCATGTTCACCACTGAGAACAAGGTCAGCTTCCTGGCCAAAGAGGAAACGTCCATCAGAACCCAGTCAGAGTCAGAGAGCATCATCCAGGACATAGGGTAACGCTCACACCAGCCCTCAAATGCTCTCATTTGCAGTCTCGTGTCATTTGCTCATTATGACTGTCTTTCTATCTATCCGTCAGTAATGCGTTGGATGATGAGGAGGAGATGCTGTATGGGGAGTCGAATCCTCTGAGCAGCCCCAGTAAAGAGGAGCCCAGCCGCGTCTCTGCAGCACTGAGCTCCACTCAGACAGGAAGACAGGGCAGACAGGAGCCGTCACACTGGTGCCTGCTGGTCAGAGAGAACGGAGTCATGGAGGTGACAAACATAGACACTGACTTACTGAGAAATCTCTGAAAGAGTGTATGCTACTAACTAATCTTTAATTAGTATTTTTTATTGTTTTTATTTTAAGTTATTCACTACTTGTCAAAAGTTTAGAAGTTTCTTGCTCTTACTGCTCACCAAGGCTGCATTTATTTGATCAAAAACACAGTAAAAACACTAATATTGTTAAATAATATTACAATATTAAATAAGTGTTTTCTACTGTACTATATTTTAAAATGTAAGCAAATCAGCATATCAGAATGATTTCTGAAGGATCATGTGACACTGAAGCCTGGAGTAATGATGCTGAAAATTCAGCTTTGATCACAGGCATAAATTACATTTTACAATATATTTGAGTAAAAAACAGTTATTTTGAATTGTAATGATATTTCATATTGTTACTGCTTTTACTGTATTTTGAGCACATAAATGCAGCCTTGGTGAGCAAAAGAGACTTAATTAAAAACATTCAAAAATCGTACTATTTCCAAACTTTTGACAAGTACTGTAATTGTTTATGATTAAATATTTAATATTTATGTAATATTAAAAATTCCCCTTTATATGATCCCAAAACCCATATAATTTACCCAAAAATCCAAATGCCTGGTCATCCTTTATAGACCCTCAGTTCATTCAAAACTATCCCTGAACTGCCTTTATGAAGTATATTAAATTGCTTTGTATGAATGCATGTCTTATTAATAGATTAATTTGACCTGTTTGGGCCTGTTTGGTTTATCAGTTCATGTAATAAGCTTCCATATAGCACATGTAAAGCATAATCTGATGTTATTGTTCTTATTATTGTTCATTAAAAATGTTTATTGTGATTTTGTTAATCAGATCTACCAGCTTCCTGACTGGCGCCTGGTTTTCCTGGTGAAAAACTTCCCTGTTGGTCAGCGTGTTTTGGTCGACAGCTCTGCTAGCCAGTTGGCTACTCAAGGCAAGCTCAAAAAGGAGGAAGTGATGAGGCAGGGAGAAATCCCATTGGTCAAAGAAGTTGCTCTCGTGTCTTTAGGCTACAACCACAGCCGTCCTTACCTGCTGGTGAGTGAATCACAGGAGCCTCCCTGCTCTTCTGGACGAATTGAGGTTTAATGTTGTGTATTTGACCGTGTTTGTCAACAGGCACATGTTGATCAAGAGCTTCTCATCTATGAGGCCTTTCCATACGACCAGCAGCAGGCTCAGAGCAACCTGAAAGTGCGCTTCAAGAAGGTACAAACTCACACTAAATTCTCTCCGCAGGACGTTTACTCTAGTGAGGTTTGAGTGATGGTGAGTGGTGGCTGTGTTTTCTTCCTGTCAGATGCCTCATAACATTAACTTCAGAGAGAAGAAGTCCAAAATGAGGAAGGACAAGAAGCCCGAGGGTCAGGGAGAGGAGACTGTGGGGGTCAGGGGTCGAGTGGCCAGATTCAGATACTTCCAGGACATCTCAGGATACTCAGGGGTACGTCTGTCTGAGACTTGGTTTGAAAACTGACGTGTGTATTTCTGATCATATTGTTGTTTTGATACACTTGTTGATGCTCTTACATTGTGTTAAATTCTAAATGCATTCAAAACTTGTATATTTTACCCTTATAAACCAGTTTGGTCAGTCATGTAATGCAGGGTTGTTTTAGTATTGTTTATATACTGTTATAGTATTTTATTCATGCTTTGCCATGTTAAAAATGGTAGTATTTTTTTATTTTTTTTATTTCTGTATTAGTTTTAGTAATTTTGCTATTTCAACTTAAACCTATTTTATTTCACTTAGTTGTCAAGGCATTTCTAATTTTCATTTAAGTCATCTAATAATTATATGCTATTTTATTGTTCTTTTTTATTGTACACTTGTTTTTTTATCCTTATAAACCGGTTTTTGTCAATCATGTATTGTCTATTTTAGTATTAATTATTATACTGTTATGTAGTACCTTTTATGTGTATTTTTTCTGTTGTCATTTTAATGTTAGTTTAGGTATTAGTAACTTCGTTATGTGCTGTTGTCATTTAAAAAAAAAAAAATTGTAATTAACTATTTCAGTCTCAGTTTTAGTAATTTTAGTACTACTTTTTGTTTATTTAGTAAATTTTTATTAATTTTTGTATAAAATGTGTATATTTTATTTCAGCTTGATTTCAATTACGGAAAATATTTTTTTATAATTTCTAAGTAATCAATAACAACCATGCTGGCTAGTTATCACAGCTGGCGTAAGACATTGGAACCAAATTATTTTCTCAAGCACTACATAAATGTTTGGCACTGCTTGTTTTTCAGGTGTTTATCTGCGGGCCGTCTCCTCACTGGATGCTGGTGACGTCTCGAGGGGCGATGCGGCTCCACCCCATGACTATAGACGGCGCCATCGAGTCCTTCTCTCCCTTTCACAATATCAACTGCCCTAAAGGATTCCTCTACTTCAACAAACAGGTAAAAACCAAGTCTACTAGCATTTGGTATTAGATATAAAATCACTTCTCAGAATGAAAAAAAGTGCTGTTCACCCTCCAATGTATCAGAATATCTTGACAGGTTAAATGTGTAACTGAAGTGTGTTTGTTGCTTTAGGGCGAGCTGAGGATCAGTGTGTTACCCACATATCTCTCATACGACGCTCCCTGGCCTGTCCGCAAGATCCCACTCAGGTGTACCATCCACTATGTGTCGTACCATGTGGAATCCAAGGTAACGCACAGCTGTGGACAGGCCTAGTTTTCATTCGCATTCAATTTAATATAACGTCTAACCTGACAGGTCTTTTAGGCTGGCTGTTTTTGCTCCTGTCCCTTTAAGATTCCATATGTAAATGAGGTCTGTTATAACTGGCTAAAGTCTTTGCATGAACAACAACAGTGTCCAGCATTAAATGAGTGTTGCAGTGTAAATGTGGACAGTCATACTGTGTTCATGCATGTTTAATCGTGTGTGTTTCAGGTGTATGCGGTGTGCAGCAGTGTTAAAGAGCAGTGCACACGCATCCCCAGAATGACCGGCGAGGAGAAGGAGTTTGAGACCATCGAGAGAGGTGGGACACCGTTTGTTTACTTGTGTACATAGGTCATTCGAAGGGGTCTTAACAGTTTAATTGCTGTTTTCTCAGATGAGCGGTACATACACCCTCAGCAGGAGAGCTTCTCCATCCAGCTCATCTCTCCGGTCAGCTGGGAGGCCATCCCAAACACACGGTGAGAAGCACATGATTCACTGTCATTTACTCACTCTCAAACCTGTAAGAGTTTCGTTCACCTTCGAAAAACAAATGAAAGTATTTTTAATGAAACCTGAGCCATTTCTGTCCTTCCATTGAAAGTTCACACAACCAGTGATGCTATGAAAGTAATCTGTATGAATAGAGCAGTTGAATCCTTCTGAAGAGATGTGATCACTTTATATGATGAACAGATTTAAATTAGGCTTTTATTCACATAGAAACTTTTATCGATGCACATACATAGAGCCGTTTAACATATTTGATGTATATTTATGAACATCTTGAAGCATAAAGTTTTGGTGGAATGGACTTTTAATAGAGGGACAGATATATCTCAGGTTTCATTGAAAATATCTTCAAGATGAATGGCAGTCTTAGGGGCTGTTCACACAGAATGTGTCTTTGCGTCTAAAAACACGAGACGAAACGCTAAGGAATGTAAAGTGCAGCACAGAACGCCTGCTTCGCCATATTGCCTTCAAATAAAACAGTTGCAATGCCAACTTGCTTCTGTAAACAAAAGCTGGCAATGCTTGCCCTGCCTCCGGGGTCTTCTGATTGGTCCAATGTTTTGGAACTGACATGATGAGTGGCGCTGCATGTAAAAGTCTTAAAAATGTGGCGCTCATGTGCGAGACGCTGCAAAAGTCATATACATCCGTCTAGCATATTTACATAGAAAAACAACGGAAAAGTAACGCATTGGAATGGGAAAACGTGTTCTGTGTGAACGGCTCCTTATGGGTTTTGAACTGACATGAACATGAGTAAATGATGACGTGTGATAAATGATAAACTGTCTGTGTAACGTTGTTGGACTGTCTTGCTCAGCATTGATCTGGAGGAGTGGGAGCATGTGACATGTATGAAGACAGTGGCTCTGAAGAGTCAGGAGACTGTGTCAGGGCTGAAGGGATATGTGGCTTTGGGCACGTGCCTCATGCAGGGAGAGGAGGTCACCTGTAGGGGCAGAGTGAGTCTTCACTTACACACATCTGAAAACAGAACTGCATTCATATTACTTCAGTAAATAAGCCTTTTGATCACCACTCAATGGCAGTCAGCTACCAATGCCACTGTAGAAATACTCTGTGTACAGGTGCATTTGATTCCCATGATCAGTTTATTCCACAACTGAAAGATAAAGAGAGCAATATGGCTGGTCATGTGATCGCAAAATGGGATGAAAACATTTGCATGGTCCAACAACATTTAAAACTGCACCATGTATGACTACTTTTGGTTAGGGCTGCATGATTTATTAAAAAAATAATAATAATAAAAAATAAAACGAGTTTGGTATAAGGCTAAAGGCGATTATCAAATCATAAAGGCTGTGATTTAAATTGTAGGTTCAATTTCACCAAAAAGGTCAATTGTTAAAACATAAATAGAAATAAATAAATTCAGCCAGATATCTTAGTATTGTAGTCATGCTGTAAAATAAAAAATACTAGATTATTACTTTTTTAATTTACAGTGTAATATTGCAATGGTCATATTTCTTATTTTGTTTAATATTTTTATTTAGAATTACTATATATAATTACTTCTTATGAAATGTAATTACAAAATTGGCCAAATTGTGCAGCTCTGCAAACAGGCACAGCAAACTTGTGTTTTTCTTAAATACATGTTTTTTTGTTTATTTTTAAAATGAAATATTGCAGAAGTAATACTCAAATAATTGTAAAAATAATTATTAATTTGTTTAATATTTTATTTAGTAATATAAATTATATTTATTTATTATTTTTTAATAATTCTATAATTCTATATATTGTATAATAATAATTCTTCATGTTTATAATAATATAATTCATTATTGTAAATGAAATATAATTACAAATATGGCCAAATTATGCAGCCCTACAACAAACAAGCAAAGCAACCTGAAGTTTTCACATTTTTAATTGCAGTCGTAACTTTCAATCCCGCACCCCGACCTTTGGTCTCTTTTGTCGGCACCGGTTTCTGTTGATCAGACGTTTGTTCTCTGACAGATCCTGATTCTGGATGTGATTGAGGTGGTGCCAGAGCCCGGTCAGCCCCTCACTAAGAACAAGTTTAAAGTGCTGTATGAGAAGGAGCAGAAGGGGCCCGTCACGGCTCTCTGTCACTGCAGTGGATACCTGGTGTCTGCCATCGGACAGAAGGTAAACACCACACGTTTAAATGTGCTGTTAAACACAGTGATATTCTGTTCATCCTGTATAAAGCTGTTGTGGGTGTGTGCAGATCTTCTTGTGGAGTCTGAAGGATAATGATCTGACCGGCATGGCCTTCATCGACACACAGCTCTACATCCATCAGATGCACAGCATCAAGAACTTCATCCTCGCCGCTGATGTGATGAAGAGCATCTCTCTGCTGCGCTACCAGGAAGAGAGCAAGACGCTCTCGCTCATCAGCAGGGTATCTGGCATGAGTTTGCACTCAAATATCAGTCAATTACAGATTCAGTTGATTTAAAGGGATATATTTGTAAGTTTGTGTTGCTGTCATTTGACAGTAGTCAGTTATCCCTCATATTTGGGTTAATGAACCCAGTGCTATGATTGGTTGAATAGTTTTTTTTGCTTTTGCCTTTTGTTTGACTTGAGTGCTTAACATAGAAAATTGAACATGGTTTAATATTGTTGACTTTAAGTAATTTAGATTCGCAAATCATACCAGTGTATGAAAATGCATACAGTTTGGATATCAATTCCATTCCTCTTTTTATTTCTTCATAGGATGCAAAGCCCTTGGAGGTTTACAGCGTAGAGTTTATGGTGGACAACAACCAGCTTGGCTTCCTGGGTAAAAATGTCTTACTCTTTTATTCTGTCTCATCATAAACTCGTTTGACCTCTAAAACCCTCTCTCAGTTTCAGACCGAGACAAAAACCTGTCCGTCTACATGTACCTGCCAGAAGGTGTGTCATTCATTTGATTCTTTCTGCAGTACCGTGAGACTTCGCTCTTTCCCAGTGTCTGATATCACACATATGTCCTTCGTTATTCCGCCTCCAGCCAAAGAGAGTTTCGGAGGCATGCGTTTGCTGCGGAGAGCCGATTTTAACGCTGGTGCTCATGTGAACGCCTTCTGGAGGATGCCGTGCCGCGGCACTCTGGACCCCGCCAGCAAGAAGGCGCTCACCTGGGACAACAAACACATCACGTGGTTCGGTGGGTCTCCTCACCTGCATCTCTGCACTCTTTTGAACACCTTTGCACCCTAGTAAATAATGGGCATTAATGAAGCATGATCATTGACCAGCATTATTTCCCTATTCCTGGACTCGTGATACCAGTGCATGAGAAAGCTAGCTTTGATTGGTCTGTGTGTGTGCAGCTACGCTGGACGGTGGCGTCGGCCTGCTTCTGCCCATGCAGGAGAAGACGTACCGCAGACTGCTGATGCTGCAGAACGCCCTCACCACCATGCTGCCGCATCACGCGGGGCTCAACCCAAAGGCCTTCAGGTACCGACTCGCCTCATGAGTACTGCAGCACTCCAGCCTGTGCTTGTTTTGATACTCAACGCTTCTGACCAATGAATTTCCATGACCTTTTTTTTGTAGATTTGCATTTGTATCTCAGCATTTCTGCAATTGTCTTTTTCTTTAGGACAGATTTTAACGTGACCTAGAAAGCCTACTGTATCATATTTGATACGCAGATTTCTAAAACCTCTAAATTACCAACATGATCAAAACTTGATGAACACAATCTACTACATGCCTTGTCGTCTGATTGATAGTTTATACTTTATACTTTTTTTGCAAGTAAAAGGCCTTTTAGTATCATTTTAAAACATCCCCCTTCAGCTCGTGGTGTCTTTCTGCTTCGAAATCTTCACTGATTTTTATAAAGCAAACGTAAGAATAACTTTTATATTGTTAGTAGTATTTCAAGATGAACACTCACTGGACTGGAGAAACTACTTGATTATTAGAAAATTCATGATAAAATGTGAGTATTAAATATGATCATCAGGCTTTTGAGGAATATTTATTTGTTCATCTCTCAATCATCATTGTATTGCATTGCATTATATGTTTTGAAACTAGAGAGCTTTGATCATAAAATTAACATTTAAATATCATCTTAAGTCTTATTATTGGGAAACTGATATTTGTATGCACTGTGTCTCGTTTTTTCCGTTCTCCTCAAGCGTGAGCTCCATATTTACACACTAAAAGCCTGATGCATCAAAAATGATACTGGACAGAAAACACTTTTGAGCATAGCATTAATAAACTTACATGACATTCATTATGAAACTTACAATTTTAGACATTTTCCTGACGCTTCCAGGCCAGATTTGGGATTTCTGTTGCATGTTATAGTGCACGTCTATAGTGTACGCCCTCAGCATCTGCTGCTGTGTTATGCTGCAGGATGCTGCACTGTGACCGGCGGACGCTGCAGAACGCGGTGAGGAACATCCTGGATGGAGAGCTGCTGAACAAGTACCTGTACCTCAGCACCATGGAGCGAAGTGAACTGGCCAAGAAGATCGGCACAACCGCAGACATTGTGAGTGCTGGACTCCGACACTTACTGTCACACAATGATTGATACTCTCACAGTGCACAACAGAGTAAATGACAAATGTAAAGCGCTGGGTGTATATTGAATAATCAGTTTTTATATTTAAGCATTACTGGCAGTTGTGCTGGTACCTAGCGCATACTTTTTTAAGGGTTCATTAAGCAAGAACGTACTTCAGGGAAAAAAATTATAATTTACTTTTCATCCCTTTGTCAATGAAAATAATTCCAAAAGATGCCAAGCACTAAGCTGATCTGGACCAAAAAAGAAGAAAAAAACACATACTGTTACAAACATTAATGCTGCCTTCATGTGCTATCAGACTTTTTCCCCCACTTCTGAACTTTCATTCTTGAATATTTCTTGGGGAAAACTTTTTAAAGCCAAAAATTTTAGAAGATATATATTCAATATCCCATGGATTTTGAATAGAATTTAGCGTCCCATTCATTGACGAGCATTTAGACTTATCTGGACTATTGTATTTGTTCACTGCAGTGATAGCTTGCTGGCAATTCCAGAATTTCAGTCAAATAAATGCTATTTTCGCAGTGTGAAAAGCGTACAATATGCATCAGATGGTTATTGATGGTTATTTATATGTTAAATGGCCACTAGCTAATATATATAAATATACTTATTTACTGAAGAACGACTTAAAAATGAGGACAATAAAAGCAGTCAAACTAACAAAAGAGCAACAATATATAAGTGCAAATGACAAGTCTCGGTTAGCCTAACGCAGTGTAGCAAGGTATGTATATATATACTATTATATACTATAGTATATATTATACACACACACAAAGAAAAACAAGTAGATAGAATAGGAAAAAATAGAAAGCTAGTGTTTTTTTTTTTTTAAATAAAAAAAGAAGATATATAGATAAAGTAGAATTAAAATAGAATAGAAAGTGCTAGAGTTAGAGGGTCAAATAAAGATGGAACAGATGTGTTTTAGTCGTTTCTTGAAGAAGGCTAAGGACTCGGATTGATTTGGGCAGGTCATTCCACCAGGAGGGAACAGTTAATGTAAAAGTCTGTGAAAGTGATTTTGTGCCTCTTTGAGATGGCACAATAATATGCCGTTCACTTACAGAACGCAAGCTTCTAGAGGGCACGTAACGCTGAAGTAATGAATTTAGGTAAATGGGTGCAGAGCCAGTGGTGGTTTTGTAGCAAACATTAATGCCTTGAATTTTATGCGAGCAGCTACTGGTAGCCAGTGCAAATTAATGAACATCATCTTAATTGGTTGTCTGAGAATCTTTTTCACCAGGGCAATACAAAGATGATACTTTGGCTTTTCATGATACTTTAGCTTCTGACTTTATCTAGATTCTTATTCCATTTCTTTTTTTTTTTTTTTACATTTTCTTTTGCTCTTCTAGCTGGTTGACATCAGCGAGGGATTCCTTTCTCTTATGATGGACAACGGAGACGTGCGTGAGGACTTGCGTGTGCCAGAAGGTGACCTGGGCAAAGAAATCGAAAGTAAATTTGCAGCTGGTGAAGAGATGTTGGTAAGTGCACCAGTTAGAATGAATGCATTTAGTCCTTTAGCTGTTTTTTTGTCGTTGTAGCTAGGCCTGTTGCAATCAATTTATCGACTTATCGCGCAATATATGTACATGACCTCAATAATTTTTGGTGACGCAATATATCGCAATATATATGTCACCGTGTTTTTTACATTCCACTTGCACCTGAGCCTTTTGTAGCTTCTCGTACATAACGCGATGTAGTCATGAGGTCCTAGTTCAAATTTAAAAAACGCTTCTACAAAAGTTTAATCTGCAGATAAAGCCTTGTTTAGGGATCTGTGCTTTTGTGCATACGGACATCTGACTGCTAAGTAGTGATTGTGTTTTTCAGCAATAGTGTGCACCCTTAATTTACAGAGAAAAGAAGGTCAGGGGAAAATCTGTAGATGGAAAAATCTCCA